ATATATATATATATATATTCATGATTCGTTTAACGGAGACATATATTAAAAAACTTATATTTAAAAATCTATGCGACTTTAATAGTAATTTGTTGGGTAATTATAACCGCACCCAGAAAAAGGTATATTCTGACAGGCACGTGCCAACAACAGAAGCATGACATCATGACTTTTCCTTTACAGTTTACAGATCCAGGACACGTCGCCTTTTCTTGCAACTTGTTTAGCTTTTTTGAGCAATAATAATAAGACACGTACAGTCCTAACTAATTTGGACACGCGGCATCCGTTCAGATCAGTCATTCTCTGGCAAGTGGCATCTTTAATAAAGTATGCAACCTGGACCTTCCACGTTGTAAAAGAAAAAAAATGGATAATCTTTATATATTATTAAATAAATATATACTTTTTATTTAAATAGTACATTAAATTGTGTCTAAAAAATATTATAAAAAATTATTTTAAAATTATTTAAAAAAAACTTGGACCTCTTGGGTTCTACGCCAGATCTTTCTCCTGATTTCTTGCGTCTCTCTATTACGGTGTGGAGATTCTTTTGGTTTTAAAAATTTTTTTATTCACTTTTACTATTACAGCAATAATGATTAATGAGTAATCTTACTTCAAGTCCTCGGATTTGTTTTGAGAGTTCAATTGAAACCAACAGTTACTAAGCCGAGTCATCATGACCTCGTTAATTAGAGAAATAGTACATATAAGGTCTTAAACTTTTTAAAAAAATTTACCAAGTAAAGATTCAAATCCTTTTATTCTTAATTATGGATCTCAACTTTTTTGTTTTTTTTTTAATAAGAAAAACAGAAGGTTTAGATCTTCAATTAACTAGTAAATTTTTTAAAGTTTGAATCGTTATATGTACTATTTCTCTTTCTCAGTGTACTTTTCTACCAAAAAGGAAAAGATTCTGAGTTATTGGTGTTATACAAGGCTTCCGCAATTCAATAATGTGATTTTTAGTTTAACTTACAAAAATTTTAAACAAAATTTTAGCATAGTATATAAATGGTTATTAAAAATTTTTTATTAAGTGAAATTATTAAATAAAAATTACATGTAAAAAAATTCAAAAAACTATTATGGTGGAACAGATGGAATATAGAAATAAAATATCTTAATATTGTTTTGTAATTTGTCTTGTGCAAATTACAAA